ACTTTGGAATTTTTTGATTTGAATTTCTCGAGTTTTTAATTTTTCATTTTTCGATTTATAGTTTAATTTTTTCAATTATTCGATTTGTCAATGTTTTTTTTTTAATCATTTTTTCTCTTTCGTGTTTTTAACGATGTAATTTTTGTTTTTTTTGTTCGTCTTTTTCTCTCTCCCCTTTTTTTAATAAACTATTCATTATGTTTTTACGTTTTTTTTCCACATTTTTTTTTTTGTATATACTTGAACCTTTTTTATTGCCTTATTTCATTTTTTTCCTGTTCCTTTTTTTAATAGTTTTTGGAACGGAAAAAGGAGCTCAAAAAAGGCGTCAATAAAAGAGAAAGAATTGACAAAAAGTGATTAAGAAAAAAGAGAAAAAAAGGACACAAAAACACAATAAACAGGGGCCAAAGATATAAAAAAAAAATCAAAAAATGCGCCAGAGCTCTTAAAAAAAATGTGCAAATAAAGTCGACAAAAAAATGTGTATAGAAAAAAGAGAAAAAAACGACAAAATTGGTCGATATCCCTAAAAATTTAAAGAAACCAAAAATTGCAAAGTCGAAAGTTTTAAAAATTGAGTAACTTAAAAATCGAAAAAGTTCAAAATCAGAAAACGAAATATTGAAAATCAAAGAAATCGGAAAATCGGTTAACTGGAAATTCAAAAATTTAAAAACTGGAAAATCGAGGAATTGAAAAATCAAAGACTGAAAATTTGAAAAACTGAATACAGGAAAAATTATAAAATCGAAAGAAACATTCAAAAATAAAGGAAATATAAAAACGAAAAATTGTGGTATAAAATCGAGAAAATGAAAATTAAAAATTGAGAAAACGAAAAATCGAAATGAAAAATTACAATATCGATAAATTGAAAAATTGCAAATCGGGAAATTGAAAAAACGAAAAATTAAAAAATTTGAGAGAGAAAAACATTGAAGTACCCATATGCCCAATATTACAATATTTTCTAAATTTACGCTCTGGAAATAAAAATAAAAAGAATAAAACGATAAAAAAGGGACGAAGAATAAAATGATAAAAAAGGGACGAAGAAAAAAAATTGAAAAGTCGAAAAATTGAAAAATTAAAAATCGAAAACTCGAGACATTCAAATCGAAAAATCAGAAGTTGGAAAACTGAAATATTTAAAAAAAATTTACGAAGAAAAAAGGCATTAAAAACGGCAAAAAATTTCAATAAAAACATAAAAAAAAGAAAAAATTAATAAATGGGGACAAAAAACGTGACAAAAAGAGCTCTTAAAAAAACGCCAAAACAACGCCAAAAAGCGGCAAAATGCATTAAAGAAACTATGAAACTAGGAAAAAAGGGGTCAAAACTAGGCGTCAAAAAAATGACAAAAAATGTGAATAAGAAAAATGTATTAGAAAAGAAAGTCAAAAAACGACAAGAAAGGAGTAAAAAACAATATATACTTATAATACAAATATACTTAAAATACGTATAAAATTTGACACATGGTGACAGATTACAATATTTTCTAAGCTTACGCTCGGGAAGCAAAAAGAGATAAAGTTGGCGATAAAAAAGGAGAGGAACAAAAAAGCGTCAAAAAAGGACAAATGGAAAAAGAGAACGAAAAAATGAAAAAATCTAGAATTGAAAAATAGAAAAATTGAAAACCGAAAAACTGTAAGTGGAAAAATTGAAAAATCCAAAAAAAAAAAATTTCACATTGAAAAAAAGAACTATTAAATGACAACATTAAAAAATAAGGAAAATAAGAAACGAAACGAAAAATTGCAGAAATGAAAAATTGAAAAACCGAAAAATTGAAAAACCGAAAAATTGAAAAACCGAAAAATTGAAAATCGAGAACTTGAGAAATTCAAATCGAAAAATCGCAAAATCTAAAAATTGAAAAATTCAAAAGTTGGAAAATTGAAGAATTGAAAAATTTTTTACGAAGAAAAAAGCCATAAAAACGCCCAAAAAAATTCAACAAAAACACTACGAAATAAACTGATAAATAGGGACGAAAAACGTAACAAAAAGAGCTCATTAAAAAAACGCAAAAAACGCAAAAAATGTTCGTAAAAAGAGTGTCAAGAAAGCAATAAAAATGCGGCAAAAGAAACTATGATAAAAAATATGAAGAAAGAAAGGGGGAGAAAAAAGCGGCAAAAAATGTGTGTTGGAAAAAAAAAGGCAAAAAAGACAAGAAAGGACAAAAAATGCAAATATCCCTAAAATACGGACAAAATTTGACACACGCAGACAGACAGACGGAAACCGGAGATCTATGTTTTCATAGTCTAGGGATCCTAAAACGTCGGGAAAACATTGCAATGCTTATACTACAATATTTTCTAAACTTACGTTCGGGAAGTAAAAAGATAAAAAACGAGAAGAAGAAAAACAAAAAGGGCTCATTAAAAATACCAAAAATTTACAAAAAAAATGTTTAGAAAACACCAAAAATGCACCCAAAAACCATTAAAGAAACTATGCAAAAAACAGAACAAGAAAAAAGACAAAAAAAGACGAATAAAGGGTATCAAAAAGCAGATAAAAGGGGTCAAGGAAGGTAACAAAAAATGTGTGTTAGAAAAAAAGGCAAAAGACGACAAGAAAAGGCAAATGAAAAATAAGATTTAAAGGGGGAAAAAACCGCAAAGATAATGATTAAAGGGACAAAGAAAACGATTAAAGAAACAAAAAAGCTTAAAAGCTAACAAAAAGGAGAAAAAAGGGCCATAAAGAAGACGATTTAAAAAAGAGGGGAGGGGATTAAAAGGCAATAAAAAAAATTAAAACATAGGGGCCAAAAACGTGACAAAAAGAGGTCATTAAAATACAAAAAAACCGCCAAAAATGCGTGTAAAAAAAGAGTGCACGACAAAAAACGCCAAAAAACACTAAAAGGAGGATCAAGAAAAAAATGGAAGATTGAAGAAACGAAAACTGAAAAAATTAAAATTGAGACAACAAAAAATTATAAAATCGGAACACTGAAAATCAAAACATTGACAAAATAAAGAAAAACTCGAATTGAAAAATTACAAATAGAAAATTTGAATAAATGAAAAATTAAATGAAATCGAAAAATTGAAAATTTCAAAATTAAAAACTGGAAAAATTTTAAATGGAAAAATTGCAAAATAAAAAAATTGAAGAAAGTTTAAGTTGACATTGAAGAAACTGAAGAGAAAAATTGGAAAGTCCCAAATGGAAAAATTGAAGAAACGAAATATGTACTGAAAAAATAAGACAACAAAAAATTCGTCCCAAAAAATGCAACAAAAATTTGTGTAAAAAAAAGAGGATGAAAAAACAACAAACAAAAAAGCTTATTAAAAAAGAATAACCTTAAAATACATATAATATTTGACATAGATAGACAGACAAAAATGGGACAGCTATGTTTTTATACTCGAGGGGTCATGAAAAGTCGAGAAAACAAGAAAATAACTATTCGCCGGATAAACTTTATTACAATATTTCGTTAGCTTATGCTCGGAAAGTTGAAAGGAAATTTAAAAAAGGCGAAAAAAGAAGACAAAAAACAGGAGACAAAAAACAGACAAAGAAAAGAGTTGCAAAAAGTGGTCAATGAAATAAATGTAAAAATGGAACAAAAAACACGCAAAAGCGACAAAAAAAGTAGCAAAAAGGTGACGAAAAAACAAAAAAAAGGCTGATAAACGTGACAAAATCCTTCCATTAAAAATACCACAAAAGAACCACAAAAAGTGTGCCAAAATGCAACACCAAAAAAAAAGACACTATCAAAAAAAAAGAGGACCAAGGAAAAAAACGAAAAAAGAGGCGATAGAAAGAATTCCGAAAAACACGCCAAGAGAAAAAAAATTACTCTGATCACAAATAAAAAATAATGACTTTGTTGTACTAACGTTTTGAATTTACTTCAAACTTTTGTTTTATTTATTTATTTGTCTGTCGAAAAATGCGTTCGCTTGACATTTTCTAACGACGCAAATATGTGCACAAAACCTTCTCTATCGTAATTTAGAATAATTTTCAACTCATAATACTCAGAAACCACTTTGACAATAACAGACCCTGGGTAATTAAAATTCATTTAAGCACGTTTACCTTTTTAATTACCCGATAACATACCAGCACCATTCGAAAAATATTTGACGCGAATTCCCACCGAGTGCATTTTTCCCACAAACCATTAGGCACCAAATTCGATATTAATGCCCTAGTCGCTACAATGTCTTCCTCGAGCGACACTTTTGCAAATAATCGCCGTTTTATTTTCACCCATTAAAAACGACTTAATATCCACCATTACTCCCACAGACCTCGGCTTATTTTATGCAAAGCAGGTAAACACTGCTGAACACATAACCGAGATTATCGTGGGAACTCGACTCCGACATCCGTGATAATTGCAACCCAAACACCGACTTCCAGCCGGAAAAACCTGGGGGCTGAAAAGCGTCACAGTTTTACGGTGCCCAATTTGCGAGTGATGCCTCAGCCATAAACTATTTCGCTACCGAGGCATAAATCACGGTAGTCGGCAAAGGTGTAATAAAAGCACCGGAAAAGGGTTAAAAGACTGTCGTAAGTTTTCAAAGAGCACGAAAATCGGACCTCGTTTATCATCAAAATCTACTTCTACGCTAAACAAAGACCGATTTGGATTTTTTTCGCGATTACCTTGAAATGTCAATATCACGTGTAACTGCTGGGAATAATAAAAGGGTAATTAATTCGATTTCTATTTCGTAACGATATTTTTTATTCTATGGCGATTACCTCACGTGTCTGGCAGATTCCCTGCATTTATTACCTAATTTCGCACGGGTGCGATTTCCCACACTTGTCACAGTCGAGCCCGAAAAATCAACAACATTTACGATTTTTCAGGCAATAAAGCACCAAACCGGTCGACCAGATTATAACTGTAGAGCAATTATTTATGCAAATTTTCAACAAAGCAAAGCAAAGTCGACTGCACATTATTATTGTACACACGGAAGCAAAAATGAGGCACGAAACTCGAGCAACAACTTTTTAATCATTTTTTGCTTTCGTTTTCTGTTTCTTCGGTTTTTTCCGCTTCGAAAAATATCTTCCACTGTTTTTGCTTCGTGAAGATCTGGAAGACGTGCTGTCGCTAAAATCACCCTTGCTCTTGAAATTTTTCGAAAATCGCCGTTCCCGATTGCTCGGAAGCAAAAGCGACGTCTGGCGAAACTGCGACAGATTCGACTTAGACGAAGATCTAGATGAAGATTGGGGACGCTCAACTGGTTTTCTGGTTCGTTTTTGACTTTCTTCAATCGGTGCCAGATGTCTAACTTGGTGTGTTTCCTCAATAACCGACTGTTGCACGTCGTAATTCGCAATTTTAGTCTCTTTCGCAATGTTCATAAGGGACAAACGAGAACTGTCAACTGACAGTGTGTCTTTACCAGGTTCGGCGGTGTGCACGCAGAAATCGTTCTTCCTGAAGAACCTAAATATAGATCTTCGTTTCTTCTCTTTAACGGTGACTCCGTCCACTGTGGTTGAAGAATACTCCTTCAATTGACCCTCAGGAACCTCCTTGGTGTGAACACAAATATCATCTTTCTTCTTTCTGAACCTCTTTAGCTTGAATTTGGGTTTGAAGTCGTGCTTGGGTTGCGGTTTGACAGGTTTGTCGTCTTCGGGTTCCCCGAATTTGAGCAAAGGTCGCGTGTCGATCAATCCAGACGGCTGTGACGTAATCTTGGTTCTGGAATAGTCACCTGGTTCGTCTTTCACGTCCTCTGGTTCATCGAACTTCAACAAAGGTCGCGTGTCGATTAACCCAGATGGGTGTGACGTGAGTGTGGCCGTCGAAGGGATTTCTTCTGGTTCCACTTCTTCTTCTTCTGGTTCTACGACTTCTTCTTCTTCCGGTTCTACTACCTCTTCTTCTTCCGGTTCTACTACCTCGTCTTCCGTTTCCTCCCTCTCATCCTCCGTTTCTTCAGTTCTGTCCTCGTCTGTGTCTTCAATCACGCTAGACGGTTTTGACGCAACTTCGCTCGGTTGCTCTTCTTCCAACTCCTCCTTTTCAGGCTCCTTCTCCTTTCTAAACACACTAGACGATATTTTCTTCAGAAGTGGCTGCACTCCATCGTACTTCTTGGGGGTGGTTTTCTTCGCATCATGTTTAATTTTGTGCAAAAACAGTCTCGACTCTCCAGCTTTCAAAGGTCTGAGACCCGAATCTATGTACTTTTTGTCTTCAACGCTATCGTCACTCTGAGCACCAAAATCTTCATTCTCTGACTCAGAATATTCGCCGCCTCCGTATGGCATGTGCAACGCGTTGTACTGCGCCATGACTATAGTGTGAGGACTGCGCGCCTGAGACGAGTGGGATTTATCTTCGTCTTCATCGTCTGGTTCGTAGTCGTCGTCGTCGTCGTCAGGCTCCACGACGTGGATTGTAGAGTCGCGAGGTTCCACTTCACATTGTTGCTTGGTGGAGAAATCTCCACCTTCAAGAGGATTATCAAGAGATTCCTTTTTTGGTGTCAAGATTTTCGAAATATTTCTACTCCTAATCGTCTTTCTGTATCTTCTCGCGGTGAACGAAATTCTAGACCGTCGCCTCGTTCTTTTAACATCTTTGGTCAACCTATAGTGTGAGTGTGTCGTGAAAAAATTCAAACCAAAAGACAATTTACCACGTTTCTTCAATTTTCTTCTTTTTGCGTCTATGGGACCAGTTTTTCTGGATTTTTGGCATTTTTGGTTAGACCAAAGGTTTGTCTTCAGTCATTTCCACGTTTATGTTGCATTTCTGTTGTGTAGTGGACAGAGGATTTAAATTGTCAAAATTCTTGGACCTCGACAAGTGTCACGTTTGTCAAAAATTGTCGTTCGAGACGGGACACTTGATTCTACCAAAGAAAAATGCTTGTGTGTTTTTATTGTCTATATTATTGTCAAGAAACACTATAAACCTATTTATATTCCCTCGTTTCTTTGTTGGTTGAAAGTACACGCGTCGACGGAGTTGACAATAAAGAACTAGACGCGGATTTAACACTTCTCGAATCAAGACAAGATAAAAAAATAAACACTAGTTCCAGAGAATTTCGAGCAAATCGAAAAACTGAAAATTTTTAAATTAAAAAAGTCGATAAAACGAAAACTGAAAAAATCAAAAAAGATTTAAAAACCGAAAAATTAAAAATCGATAAATCAAAAATTTTAAAAATCGAAAAATTGAAAAATCGAAACATCAAAAAATCGAAAAACTGAAAAATCGAAAAATTAAAAAATCGCGAAATCGAAAAATTGAAGAACCTCAATATTGCAAAATCCCAAAATTGAAATATCGAAAAATTGAAAAGTGGAAGAAAAATTGAACAAGCGAAAAATCACAAAACTGAAACATCAAAAAATTTAGAAATTGAAAAATTGAAAATTTAGAAACGTCAAAAACTTAAAAATTGAATAGTCGAAAAATTGAAAAATCGTAAAAGTGAAACATCGGAAAATTGAGATATCGAAAAATTGAAGAATTAAGAAACTGAAAAATCCAAAAATTTAAAAATTCAAAAACTGAAATGACGAAAAATTGTAAAATTGAAACATCGGAAAATTGAAAAATCGAAAAATTGAAAAACCGAAAAATCCAAAAATTAAAAAATCAAAAACTGAAACGACGGAAAATTAAAAAATCAAAAAAATTTAAAAAATCAATAAATCGAAAATTTGAAGAACCAAGAAAATGGAAGAATCGAAGTCTAGAATTATAAAAATTAAAAAATCAAAATATTGAAAAACTGAAAACCGAGAAATCGAGACATAAAAAAATGGAAAAATTGGAAAATGTAAAATTTAAAAATCGAAAAATTGAAAAATAGAAGAAAAATTGAAGAATCGAGAAATTAAAAAATCCCAAAACTGAAAAATCGAAAAATTTTAAAATAAAAAAAAGTGAAAATCGACAAATTGAAAAACTGAAAAACCGAAGCATTGTGAAGTCGAGAAATTGAGAAATGGGAAAATCTGAAAAAGTTGGAAAATTTTAAAATGGAAAAAATTGAAGAGTCGAAAAATTGAGAAATTGTAAAACTGAAACATCGGAAAATTAAGAAATCGAAAATTTGAAGAATCGAAAAATTGAAGAATTAAAAAACTGAAAAAAAAATCAATAAAAAATTATAAAAATTAAAAAATAAAATATCGAAAAACTGAAAACCGAGAAATCGAGACAAAAAATGGATAAGTTGGAAAATATAAAATTTAAAAATCGAAAAAGTGAAAAATTAAAGAACAGAAATATTGCAAAATTCCAAAACTGAAACATCGAAAAATTGAAAAATAGAAGCAAAATAGAAGAAAAATTGAAGAATCTAAAAATTAAAAAATCCCAAAACAGAAACATCAAAAAAATTAAAAATTGAAAAAAAAAACGTCTAAAACTGAAAAATTTGAAAATCTCACGAATTGAAGAGTCGAAAGATTGAAAAATCGTAAAAGTGAAAAATTCAAAAAATTGGGAAACCAAAAAATCGAAAAATTCAACAGTCGAAGAGTAAAACTTAAACATCGGAAAATTGAGAAATCTAAAATTTCAAGAATCAAAATAGCCCAAAATCGAAATCTCGATAAGTTTGAAATTCAAAAATTTTTGCATTAAAAAAATCGATAAATCGAAAACTGAAAAAACTGAAAAATCGAGAAACCGAAACATCAAAAAAACGAAAAATTAAAAAATGGGGAAATCGAAAAATTTAATATCGAGAAATTGAAAAGTGGAAGAAAAGTTGAAGAAGCGAAAAATTGAAAAATCCCAAAACTGGAACATTAAAAAATTTAGAAATCGAGAAGTAGAAAAATCAAACACATAATCGAGAAATTGACAAATCGAAAAACTGAAAAATTTAGAAATCCAAAAAATTGAAGTCGAAAAATTGAAGAATTGAAAAATTGAAAAACTAAAACATCCAAAAATTGAAAAATTCAAAAACTGAAATGATGAATAATTAGGAAATAGAAAAATTGAAGAGTCATAAAAATTGAGAAATTGTAAAACTGAAACATCAGAAAATTGAGAAAATCAAAAATTGAAATGACGGAAAATTAAGAAATCAAAAAATTTAAAAAATCAATAAATCGAAAATTTGAAGAACCAAGAAAATGGAAGAATCGGAGTCTAGAATTATAAAAATTAAAAAATTAAAATATCGAAAAACTGAAAACCAAGAAATCGAGACATAAAAAATGGAAAAATTGGAAAATGTAAAATTTAAAAATCGAAAAATTGAAAAATTAAAGAACAGAAATATTGCAAAATACCAAACCTGAAACATCGAAAAATTGAAAAATAGAAGAAAAATTGAAGAATCTAAAAATTAAAAAATCCCAAAACTGAAACATCAAAAAATTTAAAATTCGAAAAATTGAAAATTTACAAACGTCAAAAACTGAAAAATTTGAAAATCTTACAAATTGAAGAGTCGAAAGATTGAAAAATCGTAAAAGTGAAACATCGGAAAATTGAGATATCGAAAAATTGAGGACTTAAAAACTGAAAAATCCAAAAATTGAAAAATTCAAAAACTGAAAAGACAAAAAATTGGGAAACCGAAAAATCGAAAAATTCAACAGTCGAAAAGTAAAACTGAAACATCGGAAAATTAAGAAATCGAAAATTTCAAGAATCAAAATAGCCCAAAATCGAAATACCGAAAAGTTTAAAATTCAAAAATTTTTGAATTAAAAAATCGATAAAACAAAAACTGAAAAAACTGAAAAATCGAGAAACCGAAACATTAAAAAATCGAAAAATTAAAAATTGGCGAAATCGAAAAATTTAATATCGAGAAATTGAAAAGTGGAAGAAAAATTGAAGAAGCGAAAATTTGAAAAATCCCAAAACTGGAACATTAAAAAATTTAGAAATCGAGAAATAGGAAAATCAAATACATAATCGAGAAATTGAATCGAAAAACCGAAAAATTTAAAAATCCAAAACATTGAAGTCGAAAAATTGAAGAATTGAAAAATTGAAAAACTAGAACATCTAAAAATTGAAAAATTCAAAAACTGAAACGATGAATAATTGGGAAATTGAAAATTCAAGAGTCGAAAAATTGAGAAATTGTAAAACTGAAACATCGGAAAATTGAGAAATCGAATAATTGAAAAACTGAAAGATCCAAAAATTGAACAATTCAAAAACTGAAATGACGGAAAATTAAGAAATCAAAAAATGAAAAAAATCGATAAATCGAAAATTTGAAGAACCAAGAAAATGGAAGAATCGAAGTCTAGATTTATAAAAATTAAAAAATTAAAATTTCGAAAAACTGAAAAGCCAGCAATCGAAACATAAAAAAAATGGAAAAATTGGAAAATGTAAAATTTAAAAATCGAAAAATTGAAAAATTAAAGAATAGAAACATTGCAAAATCCCAAACTTGAAATATTGAAAAATTGAAAACCCCGAATTTGAGCAAAGGTCGCGTGTCGATCAATCCAGACGGCTGTGACGTGATCTTGGTTCTGGAATAGTCACCTGGTTCGTCTTTCACGTCCTCTGGTTCATCGAACTTCAACAAAGGTCGCGTGTCGATTAACCCAGATGGGTGTGACGTGATTGTCGCTGTCGAAGCGATTTCTTCTGGTTCCACTTCTTCTTCTTCTGGTTCTAACACTTCTTCTACTATCTCTTCTTCCGTTTCCTCCCTCTCATTCAACGTTTCTTCAGTTCTGTCCTCGTCTGTGTCTTCAATCACGCTAGACGGTTTTGACGCAACTTCGCTCGGTTGCTCTTCTTCCAACTCCTCCTTTTCAGGCTCCTTCTCCTTTCTAAACACACTAGACGATATTTTCTTCAGAAGTGGCTGCACTCCATCGTACTTCTTGGGGGTGGTTTTCTTCGCATCATGTTTAATTTTGTGCAAAAACAGTCTCGACTCTCCAGCTTTCAAAGGTCTGAGACCCGAATCTATGTACTTTTTGTCTTCAACGCTATCTTCACTCTGTGCACCAAAATCTTCATTTTCCGACTCAGAATATTCGCCGCCTCCGTATGGCATGTGCAACGCGTTGTACTGCGCCATGACTATAGTGTGAGGACTGCGCGCTTGAGACGAGTGGGATTTATCTTCGTCTTCATCGTCTGGTTCGTAGTCGTCGTCGTCGTCAGGCTCCACGACGTGGATGATAGAGTCGCGAGGTTCGACTTCACATTGTTGCTTGGTGGAGAAATCTCCACCTTCAAGAGGATTATCAAGAGATCCCTTTTTTGGTGTCAAGATTTTCGAAATATTTCTACCCCGAATAGTCTTTCTGTATCGTCTCGCGGTGAACGAAATTCTAGACCGTCGCCTACTTCTTTTAACATCTTTGGTCAACCTATGGTGTGAGTGTGTCGTGAAAAAATCAAACCAAAAGACAATTTACCACGTTTCTTCAATTTTCTTCTTTTTGCGTCTATGAGACCAGTTTTTCTGGATTTTTGGCATTTTTGGTTAGACCAAAGGTTTGTCTTCAGTCATTTCCACGTTTATGTTGCATTTCTGTTGTGTAGTGGACAGAGGATTTAAATTGTCAAAATTCTTGGACCTCGACAAGTGTCACGTTTGTCAAAAATTGTCGTTCGAGACGGGACACTTGATTCTACCAAAGAAAAATGCTTGTGTGTTTTTATTGTCTATATTATTGTCAAGAAACACTATAAACCTATTTATATTCCCTCGTTTCTTTGTTGGTTGAAAGTACACGCGTCGACGGAGTTGACAATAAAGAACTAGACGCGGATTTAACACTTCTCGAATCAAGACAAGATAAAAAAATAAACACTAGTTCCAGAGAATTTCGAGCAAATCGAAAAACTGAAAATTTTTAAATTAAAAAAGTCGATAAAACGAAAACTGAAAAAATCAAAAAAGATTTAAAAACCGAAAAATTAAAAATCGATAAATCAAAAATTTTAAAAATCGAAAAATTGAAAAATCGAAACATCAAAAAATCGAAAAACTGAAAAATCGAAAAATTAAAAAATCGCGAAATCGAAAAATTGAAGAACCTCAATATTGCAAAATCCCAAAATTGAAATATCGAAAAATTGAAAAGTGGAAGAAAAATTGAACAAGCGAAAAATCACAAAACTGAAACATCAAAAAATTTAGAAATTGAAAAATTGAAAATTTAGAAACGTCAAAAACTGAAAAATTTGAAAATCTAAAAAATTGACGAGTCGAAAAATTGAAAAATCGTAAAAGTGAAACATCGGAAAATTGAGATATCGAAAATTTTAAATTAAAAAAGTCGATAAAACGAAAACTGAAAAAATCAAAAAAGATTTAAAAACCGAAAAATTAAAAATCGATAAATCAAAAATTTTAAAAATCCAACAATTGAAAAACTGAAAAACCCCAAAAAAAATCGAAAGATGGAGAAATTGAGAAATGGAAAACCAAACCATCGAAAAATTGAAAAATCGAAACATCAAAAAATCGAAAAACTGAAAAATCGAAAAATTAAAAAATCGCGAAATCGAAAAATTGAAGAACCTCAATATTGCAAAATCCCAAAATTGAAATATATAAAAATTGAAAAGTGGAAGAAAAATTGAACAAGCGAAAAATCACAAAAATGAAACATCAAAAAATTTAGAAATCGAAAAATTGAAAATTTAGAAACGTTAAAAACTTAAAAATTGAAAAAATATAAAATTTAAAAATCGAAAAAGTGAAAAATTAAAGAACAGAAATATTGCAAAATTCCAAAACTGAAACATCGAAAAATTGAAAAATAGAAGCAAAATAGAAGAAAAATTGAAGAATCTAAAAATTAAAAAATCCCAAAACAGAAACATCAAAAAAATTAAAAATTGAAAAAAAACCGTCTAAAACTGAAAAATTTGAAAATCTCACGAATTGAAGAGTCGAAAGATTGAAAAATCGTAAAAGTGAAAAATTCAAAAAATTGGGAAACCAAAAAATCGAAAAATTCAACAGTCGAAGAGTAAAACTTAAACATCGGAAAATTGAGAAATCTAAAATTTCAAGAATCAAAATAGCCCAAAATCGAAATCTCGATAAGTTTGAAATTCAAAAATTTTTGCATTAAAAAAATCGATAAATCGAAAACTGAAAAAACTGAAAAATCGCGAAACCGAAACATCAAAAAAACCAAAAATTAAAAAATGGGGAAATCGAAAAATTTAATATCGAGAAATTGAAAAGTGGAAGAAAAGTTGAAGAAGCGAAAAATTGAAAAATCCCAAAACTGGAACATTAAAAAATTTAGAAATCGAGAAGTAGAAAAATCAAACACATAAACGAGAAATTGACAAATCGAAAAACTGAAAAATTTAGAAATCCAAAAAATTGAAGTCGAAAAATTGAAGAATTGAAAAATTGAAAAACTAATACACCCAAAGATTGAAAAATTCAAAAACTGAAATAATGAATAATTAGGAAATAGAAAAATTGAAGAGTCATAAAAATTGAGAAATTGTAAAACTGAAACATCAGAAAGTTGAGAAAATCAAAAACTGAAATGACGGAAAATTAAGAAATCAAAAAATTTAAAAAATCAATAAATCGAAAATTTGAAGAACCAAGAAAATGGAAGAATCGGAGTCTAGAATTATAAAAATTAAAAAATTAAAATTTCGAAAAACTGAAAAGCCAGCAATCGAAAAGTAAAAAAAATGGAAAAATTGGAAAATTTAAAAATCGAAAAATTGAAAAATTAAAGAATAGAAACATTGCAAAATCCCAAACTTGAAATATTGAAAAACTGAAAACTCCGAATTTGAGCAAAGGTCGCGTGTCGATCAATCCAGACGGCTGTGACGTGATCTTGGTTCTGGAATAGTCACCTGGTTCGTCTTTCACGTCCTCTGGTTCATCGAACTTCAACAAAGGTCGCGTGTCGATTAACCCAGATGGGTGTGACGTGATTGTCGAAGCGATTTCTTCTGGTTCCACTTCTTCTTCTTCTGGTTCTAACACTTCTTCTACTATCTCTTCTTCCGTTTCCTCCCTCTCATTTTCCGTTTCTTCAGTTCTGTCCTCGTCTGTGTCTTCAATCACGCTAGACGCTTTTGACGCAACTTCACTCGGTTGCTCTTCTTCCAACTCCTCTTTTTCAGGCTCCTTCTCCTTTCTAAACACACTAGACGATATTTTCTTCAGAAGTGGCAGCACTCCATCGTACGTCTTGGGGGTGGTTTTCTTCGCATCATGTTTAATTTTGTGCAAAAACAGTCTCGACTCTCCAGCTTTCAAAGGTCTGAGACCCGAATCTATGTACTTTCGGTCTTCAACGCTATCGTCACTCTGTGCACCAAAATCTTCATTTTCCGACTCAGAATATTCGCCGCCTCCGTATGGCATGTGCAACGCGTTGTATTGCGCCATGACTATAGTGTGAGGACTGCGCGCCTGAGACGAGTGGGATTTATCTTCGTCTTCATCGTCCGGTTCGTAGTCGTCATCGTCGTCGTCAGGCTCCACGACGTGGATGATAGAGTCGCGAGGTTCGACTTCACATTGTTGCTTGGTGGAGAAATCTCCACCTTCAAGAGGATTATCAAGAGATCCCTTTTTTGTTGTCAAGATTTTCGAAATATTTCTACCCCGAATAGTCTTTCTGTATCTTCTCGCGGTAAACGAAATTCTAGACCGTCGCCTCGTTCTTTTAACATCTTTGGTCAACCTATGGTGTTAGTGTGTCGTGAAAAAATCAAACCAAAAGACAATTTACCACGTTTCTTCAATTTTCTTCTTTTTGCGTCTATGGGACCAGTTTTTCTGGATTTTTGGCATTTTTGGTTAGACCAAAGGTTTGTCTTCAGTCATTTCCACCTTTATGTTGCATTTCGGTTGTGTAGTGGACAGAGGATTTAAGTGTCGAAGTTCTTGGACCTCGACAAGTGTCACGTTTGTCAAAAATTGTCGTTCGAGACAGGACACTTGATTCTACCAAAGAAAAATGCTTGTGTGTTTTTATTGTCTATATTATTGTCAAGAAACACTATAAACCTATTTATATTCCTTCGTTTCTTTGTTGGTTGACAATAAAGAACTAGACGCGGATTTAACACTTCTCGAATCCGAAAGCCTAACCTGCTTTTTAGGAATCCTACTCTGAAAAGGAGCGGGACCAATAGATAAACCTGAACCATCAGTCGAAAAGGAATCCTTCCCAGGAGGGTCACTCGTGTGGACGCAAATATCCGATTTCTTCGTTTTAACGTCTACATCTTCCGGACACAAACACTCTACTTCTTCCTCTTTAGCGTCAATCTTCGTTTTCGAGTCGTCAGCCGTGCTTGACGAGAAGTCGCCATCGGGCACATCTTCAACGTGGACGCAAAAGTCGTCTTGCTCTGACTTTTCTTCCTTTTTGTCTTCTTCTTCTAGCTCTGCATCTTCCACCTTTACGTCAGTTTCTATCGTAAATTTTACGTCTTCGAATTCTTGCAGTTTTTTCAAAGGGTCTGTGTCAATCTGGTTGGACAGCTGCGACGAAATTGATTTTTCTTCGCTAGACGTGAAGTCGCCCCGATTGGACGGAGGACTCGGCTGCTTGACTTTCTCTTTGGGTTTCTTCTTCCGGTGGTCCCAGTCTTCGAAAATATCGGACGGGATGTCTTCCAGAAGAGGGTCAATGTCGTCGTCGTCGCTCGTGGTGTGGTGTTTCTTGCCTTGGTGGCTCTCCGGGTCCAGGTAAAGCTTAGATTCGTCAGACTTTAAAGGTCTAAGACCTGAGTCAATGTAGAGCCTGATGTCTTCGTCACCACTATCATCACCTATGTCTTCTTCCGTTTCATGAAACGTGTTTGGTGTGGTGGTTTCGTACTGCGCCATGACTATCGAAGTTCGTTGTCTTTGAGGGTGCGCAAATCGATTGTCATCGTCGTCGTCAGACAATGGAAACTGAATTGTGTAGTTTTGGGCAAAGAAGATGTCTTTTTGGGTTTCTGTTTCCTCTAACAAGATCATTGAAGCGTCTTGCTTAATTCCGGAGAAATCAGTTGACAATGTTTGGTTAGTCGAGGCTTCTGTTTCTTCGCTTTCTTGTTTCGAGTTGGTTTTAGAGAAATCGCTTGACAGTGTTTTCCTAGTCGAGGATTCTGTTTCTTCAGAAACACTGTCTTTCTTTGGTGACGATTTGGTTTCGGAGAAGTCAGTTGACGACGTCTTGGAGGATTCTGTTTCTTCAGACATACCACTTTTGGTGGATTTTTTATCCGGGATGTCTGTTTGCAGTTCAGACGTGATCGTCTGCGACAGCGACATTATCCCCGAATCGAAGTGCTCTTGAAGCGACTTCTTGCTCTTCAGTTTGTCCAGATTGATGATCCTCATCAAATTCTTCTTTTCTTCTTCATTCAGATTTTCGTACTTTTTGACTCGAGAAGCTTCGCTTCCATCCAGGCTTTTCCGAATCCTCTTTCGTCTGATTCCTCTTCTATAGTTTCTCACAAAAACGGGTATTTTGCTCGCCTTTTTTTTCTCGGTGACGTACTTCTGCAACCTGCTACTAACACGCATTACTCACCCCCAACCACAAATTAATCTTTACCACTTGACCTGGTTCTTCCTTTTTCCGCGTTTCGCCTGTACTACGACCCTCTCGAGTTTGGTCGTTCCCGATTTCGTTCGAATCAAAAGTATGCCTTGAGAAGTCTTCACGTTCTCGGATTCCATTCCGATTCCAGTTTTAAAGCCCTATTGTGCTGCCGAGGTACCGTTAGTGTTTTACTGTAAAAGTGTTTTTTCTTGAGCGTGACGGTGCGAAATTTTGCTGAAGATTTCCGTTGAAATCTATTTTAGTTCGGTTTCACTGGAAGATCGGCGATTTGTTTGGGTGATGAACTCGGGCACGGAGCCTCGGGCGATTTGCGAGGTACGGGGATTTAACGTCGAAATGTCACGAGAAATGCCAAAAGGGGATGTTTTGACAAGATAAAAAAAATAAACACTAGTTCCAGAGAATTTCGAGCAAATCGAAAAACTGAAAATTTTTAAATTAAAAAAGTCGATAAAACGAAAACTGAAAAAATCAAAAAAGATTTAAAAACCGAAAAATTAAAAATCGATAAATCAAAAATTTTAAAAATCGAAAAATTGAAAAATCGAAACATCAAAAAATCGAAAAACTGAAAAATCTAAAAATTAAAAAATCGCGAAATCGAAAAATTAAAGAACCTCAATATTGCAAAATCCCAAAATTGAAATATCTAAAAATTGAAAAGTGGAAGAAAAATTGAACAAGCGAAAAATCACAAAACTGAAACATCAAAAAATTTAGAAACTGAAAAATTGAAAATTTAGAAACGTCAAAAACTGAAAAATTTGAAAATCTAAAAAATTGAAGAGTCGAAAAATTGAAAAATCGTAAAAGTGAAACATCGGAAAATTGAGATGTCGAAAAATTTTAAATTAAAAAAGTCGATAAAACGAAAACTGAAAAAATCAAAAAAGATTTAAAAACCGAAAAAACAAAAATCGATAAATCAAACATTTAAAAAATGCAACAATTGAAAAACTGGAAAAACCAAAAAAAAATCGAAAGATGGAGAAATTGAGAAATGGAAAACCAAACTATCGAAAAATTGAAAAATCGAAACATCAAAAAATCGAAAAACTGAAAAATCGAAAAATTAAAAAATCGCGAAATCCAAAGAACCTCAATATTGCAAAATCCCAAAATTGAAATATCTAAAAATTGAAAAGTGGAAGAAAAATTGAACAAGCGAGAAATCATAAAACTGAAACATCAAAAAATTTAGAAATTGAAAAATTGAAAATTTACAAACGTCAAAAACTGAAAAATTTGAAAATCTAACAAATTGAAGAGTCGAAAGATTGAAAAATCGTAAAAGTGAAACATCGGAAAATTGAGATATCGAAAAATTGAAGAATTAAGAAACTGAAAAATCCAAAAATTGAAAAATTCAAAAACTGAAATGACAAAAAATTGGGAAACCGAAAAATCGAAAAATTCAACAGTCGAAAAGTAAAAAAATTGAGAAAACGAAAATTTGAAGAATCGAAATAGGCCAAAATCGAAATATCGAAAAGTTTAAAATTCAAAAATTTTTGAATTAAAAAAATCGATAAAACGAAAACTGAAAAAACTGAAAAATCGAGAAACCGAAACATCAAAAAATCGAAAAATTTTATATCGAAAAATTGAAAAGTGGAAGAAAAATTGAAGAAGCGAAAATTTGAAAAATCTCAAAACTGGAACATTAAAAAATTTAGAAATCGAGAAATAGGAAAATCAAATACATAATCGAGAAATTGACAAATCGAAAAACTGAAAAATTTAGAAATCCACAAAATTGAAGTCAAAAAATTGAAGAATTGAAAAATTCAAAAACTGAAATGATTGGGAAATAGAAAAATTCAAGCGTCGAAAAAATCGAAATATCGAAAAGTTTAAAATTCAAAAATTTTTGCATTAAAAAAATCGATAAATCGAAAACTGAAAAAACTGAAAAATCGAGAAACCGAAACATCAAAAAATCGAAAAATTAAAAAAAGGGCGAAATGGAAAAATTTAATATCGAGAAATTGAAAAGTGGAAGAAAAATTGAAGAAGCGAAAAATTGAAAAATCCCTAAACTGAAACATTAAAAAATTTAGAAATCGAGAAGTAGGAAAATCAAATACATAATCCAGAAATTGACAAATCGAAAAACCGAAAAATTTAAAAATCCAAAAAATTGAAGTCAAAAAATTGAAGAATTGAAAAATTGAAAAACTAGAACATCCAAAAATTGAAAAATTCAAAAACTGAAATGATGAATAATTGGGAAATTGAAAAATTCAAGAGTCGAAAATTCAGAAATTGTAAAACTGAAACATCGGAAAATTGAGAAATCGAAAAATTGAAAAAATCCAAAAATTGAAAAATTCAAAAACTGAAATGACGGAAAATTAAGAAATCAAAAAAATTTAAAAAATCAATAAATCGCAAATTTGAAGAACCAAGAAAATGGAAGAATTGAAGTCTAGAATTATAAAAATTAAAAAATTAAAATATCGAAAAACTGAAAACCGAGAAATCGAGACATAAAAAAATGGAAAAATTGGAAAATGTAAAATTTAAAAATCGAAAAATTGAAAAATTAAAGAATAGAAATATTGAAAAATCCCAAAACTGAAACACCGAAAAATTGAAAAATAGAAGAAAAATTGAAGAATCTAAAAATTAAAAAATCCCAAAACAGAAACATCAAAAAAATTAAAAATTGAATAAAACCGTCTAAAACTGAAAATTTTAAAAATGTCACAAATTGAAGAGTCGAAAGATTGAAAAATCGTAAAAGTGAAACATCGGAAAATTGAGATATCGAAAAATTGAAGAATTAAGAAACTGAAAAATCCAAAAATTGAAAAATTCAAAAACTGAAATGACAAAGAATTGGGAAACCGAAAAATCGAAAAATTCAACAGTCGAAAAGTAAAACTGAAACATCGGAAAATTGAGAAATCTAAAATTTCAAGAATCAAAATAGCCCAAAATCGAAATATCGAAAAGTTTAAAATTCAAAAATTTTTGCATTAAAAAAATCGATAAATCGAAAACTGAAAAAACTGAAAAATCGAGAAACCGAAACATCAAAAAATCGAAAAATTAAAAAATGGGGAAATCGAAAAATTTAATATTGAGAAATTGAAAAGTGGAAGAAAAGTTGAAGAAGCGAAAAATTGAAAAATCCCAAAACTGGAACATTAAAAAATTTAGAAATCGAGAAGTAGAAAAATCAAACACATAATCGAGAAATTGACAAATCGAAAAACTGAAAAATTTAGAAATCCAAAAAATTGAAGTCGAAAAATTGAAGAATTGAAAAATTCAAAAACTGAAATGATTGGGAAATAGAAAAATTCAAGCGTCGAAAAATTGAGAAATTGTAAAACTGAAATATCGGAAAATTGAAAAATCGAAAATTTCAAGAATCAAAATAACCCAAAATCGAAATATCGAAAAGTTTAAAATTCAAAAATTTTTGAATTAAAAAAATCGATAAATCGAAAACTGAAAAATCGAGAAACCGAAACATCAAAAAATCGAAAAATTAAATATCGAGAAATTGAAAAGTGGAAGAAAAATTGAAGAAACGAAAAATTGAAAAATCCCAAAACTGAAACATTAAAAAATTTAGAAATCGAGAAATAGGAAAATCAAATACATAATCGAGAAATTGACCAATCGAAAAACTGAAAAATCTAAAAATCCAAAAAATTAAAGTCGAAAAATTGAAGAATTGAAAGATTGAAAAACTAAAACATCCAAAAATTGAAAAATTCGAAAACTGAAATGATGAATAATTGGGAAATAGAAAAATTCAAGAGTCGAAAAATTGAAAAATTGTAAAACTGAAACATCGGAAAATTGAGAAATCGAAAAATTGAAAAACTGAAAAATCCAAAAATTGAAAAATTCAAAAACTGAAATAACGGAAAATTAAGAAATCAAAAAATGAAAAAAATCGATAAATCGAAAATTTGAAGAACCAAGAAAATGGAAGAATCGAAGTCTAGATTTATAAAAATTAAAATTTCGAAAAACTGAAAATCGAGTAATCGAAACATAAAAAAATGGAAAAATTGGAAAATGTAAAATTTAAAAATCGAAAAATTGAAAAATTAAAGAACAGAAACATTGCAAAATCCCAAACCTGAAACATCGAAAAATTGAAAACTAGAAGAAAAATTCAAGAATCGAAAAATTAAAAAATTTCAAAACTGAAAAATCGAAAAATTCAAAAATAAAAAAAAGTGAAAATCGACGAATTGAAAAACTGAAAAATCGAAGCATTGTGAAGTCGAGAAATTGAGAAATGGGAAAATCTGAAAATCGGTTAATGGAGAAATTGAGAAAACGAAAAATTGTAAATTTATAAACGTCAAAAATTTAAAAATGGAAAAAATTAAAGAGTCGAAAAATTGAGAAATTGTAAAACTGAAACATCGGAAAATTAAGAAATCGAAAATTTGAAGAATCGAAAAACTGAAGAATTGAAAAACTGAAAAAACTGAAAAATCCAAAAATTAAAAAAATCAAAAATTGAAATGACGAAAAATTGGGAAACAGACACATCGAAAAATTCAAGAGAAATATGTAAAACTGAAACATCGGAATATTGAGAAATCGAAAATTTGAGGAATCGAAAAATTGAAAAACTAAAAAATCGAAAAATGAAAAAATGGCGCAATCGAAAAAGAAGAAGAAGAACCTCAATATTGCAAAATCCCAAAACTGAAATATCGAAAAATTGAAAAGTGGAAGAAAAATTGAAAAAGCGATAAACTGAAAAATCCCAAAATTGAAACATTAAAAAATTTAGAAATCGAGAAATAGGAAAATCAAAAAATCAAACAATCGAGAAATTGACAAATCGAAAAATTGAAAGTTTAGAAACGTCAAAAATTGAAAAAAAATTAAGAAATAAAAAAATGAAAAAAATCGATAAATCGAAAATTAAGAATTCTAAAAAATAAAAAATTAAAATATAGAAAAACTGAAAACCGAGAAATCGAAACATAAAAAAATTGAAAAATTGGTACATGTAGTATTTAAGAATCGAAAAAGTAAAAATCGAGAAATCGAAAAATTGAAAAATTAAAGAATAGAAATATTGCAAAATCCCAAACCTGAAACATCGAAAAATTACGAAATCAAAAAATGAAAAAATCGAAAAATCGAAAATTTGAAGAACTGAGAAAATGGAAGAATCGAAGTCTAGAATTCTAATAATTAAAATATCGAAAAACTGAAAACCAAGAAATCGAAACATAAAAAATGGAAAAATTGGAAAACATGTAATTTAAAAAAAGTAAAAAACCGAGAAATCAAAAAATTGAAAAATTAAAGAATAGAAATATTGCAAAATCTCAAACCTGAAGCATCGAAAAATTGAGAAAGTGAAAAGTTCAAAATTAAAGAAAAGTGGAAATCGACAATTTGAAAAACTGGAAAATCGAAACATTGAGAAGTCGAGATATTTAGAAATGGAAAATTCGGAAAATATAATATACAATAGTTATAATAGAATCTAGGATGAAGAAAACGTAAAAAAGCGCTAATCGTAAATTTTTTCTATAAAAAAAGTATAAAAAATGTATTTCTTATATCTTAAGAAAGAAAGAGAACGCGGTGTTAACTTTAACTTTTGTTTAATAAGTCCTTTATAAGCAAACAAAAGCCCCGCCCACCTACCCCCCTTCATTGCAGTAATTGCACTAATAGCGTTCAGTCTTATCTTAGCAAGTACTAGCCCTACCCACCCCACCCCTCTATTTTCTTAGAGAATATTATTTGCCGAAATCAGTCTTATTTTGGTAAGTACTAGCCCCGCCCACCCACCCTATATTTTCTTGGAGGTTATATCATTTGCCAAAATTAGTTTTGTATTGTTGACTTGCGTTGTCTTCAATCTAACGATGTTACTTTTGTTCACTATAAGATCCACCTTTCATTTACACCAAATAAAATAAATCACGGAAACGGAGGCGGGGTGGGCGGGCGGGGCAAATTATATTCTTCCGTCGAAGGGGGTGTGATAATGATTCATTGATTTTGACTTCTGCCAATTTGCTAAACATTGTAAAATAAATTAGTATTATATGTTTAATATGTACCCTGATGTTTAAGGAAACTTAATTTGTTTGTCAATTTTCTACATAGTTATTTTTTGTACGAATTTGTTTTTAGTTTATTTGGGGTTTCTTTCTGTTCAAATCAAAAAATATTATTATTATTATTATTATTTGCTTTTCTGTAAATTATGTGATTCCTTTTATGTTACCATTGATCAATATTATCATCTATAAGAAATCGGTGTATAGGCAACCAATTATACTCCACGCTGCTATGAATTAAAAATTCCTGTAGTAAAGGTGTGGACTTTTTTTCATTGTAAAAACGCTTGTATTCCCCAACGATAACACTTTTTTTCATTCAATTTTTATTGCCCCCAAATTATCCAAAACGCTCCCAAAAACATCACTTGGTGTTTTTTGCGGTCAGGTTGGCTACAAATTATTGTTTTTTAGGGTGGCGCATGTTACGGCTACTAATGCAATTCATGTGCAATTATCGAAATTTTACACATGCATACCTTTTACACACACCATAAAAACACCCCATCAAGCACCTAACATGGAAGTAACCAGTTCCAGTAAGTGTCGCCGCGCCCCCACCAAAAGTGAGGTTATGCAAACGTAAACATTCCAGATTTCAAAGAACTGCTGCCAGAAATCGAGGACGTCATCAACAAATCCACCTTCCTAGCCATCGACTGCGAGTTTTCCGGGCTAAATGTGGTCTCCGAAATCAACGCTTTCGACACCCCCAAGCAGTACTACGAAAAAGTTCGCAAAAACTGCAAGGAGTTTTTGGTTATCCAGTACGGAATTAGCGCATTTAGGTAATTACTAAACCCTTCATTTCATTATTTACCCAATCCACGACTACAGGTTTGACCCTTCTGACGGGAAGTTCAAGCAGCGCAGCTACAACTTCTACATATTCCGCCGGCCCATTAACAAGAACATCCCCGACCAGAGGTTCTTATGCCAGACTTCCAGTATTAATTTCCTGACGTCGCAGGGGTTCGACTTTAACAAGTTGTTCAAATCGGGAATCTCGTACTTGAATATGTCGGAAGAGACCGATTATAGGGAAAAAATCGAAGATAGGCAGAAATTGCGCAACAATCAGCACAACAACCAGCAAAGTCCGTCTGAAGTCGACCCCATCCCGCAGGACGTGCAGCCCGTTGTGGACGACGTTTTGTGAGTTCGTGGGGTCGCTCGAGCACGTTTTAAATTGTGGTTGCAGGCAACAGTTGAGCGACTTTCTGGACACCGATAACGTGGAGTTGGAACTACCCAAGTGTAACGCGTTTGTGAGACGACTCATCTATCAAACCACCGCGCAAAAATTCAAGAACAAAATCACCCTTCAGACGAAAAATAGGAACAAGGATCGGATTCTAGTGGCTTCCAAGTTCAAAAGCAAGAAGGAGCAGCAGGAGATCGATCAGCGACTTTTCGAGGAGGAAATGTCGGTTTTGGACGATTTCATAGGGTTTACGAAAGTTTTACGAATTGTTGTTGATTCTGTACGTGTTTGTGCACTCGTTTCCGTCTTATTTATTTGTTTATTTATTGTAATTTCAGGGAAAAATGATTGTTGGACACAACATGTGTCTAGATTTTCTGCACACCATTGACAAGTTCTTGACCCCTCTGGCTAAGGAGTACGACGAATTCAAGGAATGTGCGCATGCGCTATTCAAAAAGTACGCACCTTCAGTGGAACTTTGCGTAGTCTGATACAATTTTAGTGTTTTAGATACAAAGTTTATGTCTAGTTCTGACGAATTTAAAGATTTAATACAATCCACTGTGTTAAAGGATGTTTTAGAGGCGGTTTCTAAAGACCCGTTCCAGCTGCCCACCGTTGGTACGACACTAAGAAGGCGATTTTTTGTAAACTGAGTTGTTTGTTCCAGAAATTGAGGACGCCGGACAGGGGTACAGGGTTGAGGATTTGAAGGAGCACGAAGCGGGGTACGATGCCTATATCACCGGGCTGTGTTTTCTTTCAATGTGGAACTACCTAGGAACTTTGAAAGAACTTTCAACTGCAGACATTTTCAAAGATTTTAGTTTATTGGAGCCTTATCTCAACAAGTACCACGTGACAATGTAATAAAATTAAAACTTTTTGATTTGTGTTTTTAAGGTTGTACCTGATGATGTTAAGAGACAGTCAATATATTAATTTGGCAGGCCAAGATCGTAAGTTTCGGGAATTTTAAACCAACAAAATCAGTTGCGTTTTTTTCAGCTAACCCCTCCAGGGATCACGTTTTCTACTTGACTTTCCCTAGGGACTGGAGGCTGAACAACATAATCGAGCTCTTCAGCCCTTTTGGTAAGGTTCAAGGTAAAATTCGCTTTGTCGCGTTATAAAATTGTGTCTTAGGTGGCGTTTACGTGGCCTGGATAAACGAAACGTCAGCCTATGTAGGGCTTTTCAAGCGAGAACAGGCGGCTGTGGCGTTAAGTACGTTATCCCAAAGTGACACATACAGCATTATGACTTATTCCAGACGTCAGGCACAGCTAGAAGACGGACCGTCGCCGGCTCCAGTCAACCGCAGGAAGCGGACTCTGGACAACACCCCCAGGTGCAATAAAAAAATCAAAACCGACCAGTACGTCGCCGGTTCGGTTTAACACGCTTTCTAATGTTTTTTCCGCAGAGGAACCGCCTCGAAGAAGCGCCAGACCGTCCTGGAGGCCGAGAGCGAAACTCCCAAGAAGTGTGCTAGGAAAGAATTGACCAAAACCTTCGTCGAAAGTGATGCGTGGGATTAATGTTATGTACATGAAATGAAAATTTAGTTTCTTAACTAAATAAAAAGTAAAAATTTTATATGGGAATTAAATATTTAAATTACCGTTAGTGGGGGTCGGAGGTCCATTTTCACCAACAAAAATTAAAAACTTTGGCACCAGTTTCGCACTACTAAAATGGCGCGGATTCAGGTGTGCCAAACTGAAAAAGTGTCAAATTTAGGTTGGCGACAATGACAACGGGTAAATGTTTTTTCTTTCACTTGACTGGCGGCGTTTTTGCAGCCAAAGTAACCCAAAAAATGCTTCACTTCGAAGAAACTGAGTCGAAATAGCCGAACAGTGCAAAAATTAAATTTCCGAATACCAATAATGAGCCAATAATGAGTGACAAGTGACAGTTGACAAAAGCACGCCCCCTATCGGTGACATAATCAACCCCAAACCAAAATAATTATGTGGCTTATATTTTAAATTGTGCCTTAATAAAGCCGCACAGTCATGTGTTCGCGCGAAGAAATCGAGCTAAAGAAGCGCCTGGCGCTGGAGAAGCTGGCCCAGAAGCGACTCACGAGTCCGTTGAAACCTAACCTCCAAAGTTTAAATTCTGGGGCACAGGCGTCCCCGAACAAGCCGCGTTTCAACTTCAAGGAGAGCAACCACTCGGTTAGACACGCCGTGAAGCCGTACGAGAAGCCCAAAGAGACGGCTCAGTTTTACGGGAACGAGAAGGCCGTCACGGGGAAATGTAGTCTAATTGGGGTGGACAGGTTCGTGGTGGAGCTGTCTGGGTTCAGCACGCCGGCGATTGACGTGTTCAAGTCGATAGGGTCGCGGCACTATAGTGAGTGGTGTTGGCTGCAAGGTTGTATGATTAATTTGTTTTTTGTAGATGTTCAGACTAGGAATTGGGATTTTCATGTCAGAGACCACACGGAGCTGATTGGGAAGCTGCAGAATTTGCGGCCGCATGTTATCGTGGAGAGGCTGCCGGGGTTTGTTTTGAGTTGTGTGAATGGGGAGAAGGCGGATTATTCGAATATTGATTTGAGTAGGGTGGATCCGGAGCTGGGGGGTGCCTTAATGCCTTTTCAGCAGGAAGGAGTCAGGTGATTTTTAGCGCATTGTCACAGTATGGTGACTCGGTATTTCCCGACTACCATGATGTCATCTCAAAAATTTGTAATAAAAAGTTGTTTTTAATTTATAACTTTGAAATTGCAAAACCGATTGCTCTCAAATCTTGTAAATATTTTAATATTATCGTAACCGTGGTAAATCGGTCAGCAAAATTTATTGGTTTATCCCCTCCTAAAAAATTGATGACGTTATCTCAAAATTTTGCCGGATGTATAAATTTTGGCATTTCGAAATATTCCATTTTCCCTTTTCGCAATTTCTCTATAAATCGATTCTTTGATTTTTCGACTTTTCGACTTTTTAATTTTTTGTCTGTTCGATTTCTCGATTGCTCAGTTTTTCGATTTCCCAAGTTGTTGAAGTTTTGGTTTTAGGATTTTCCAATTTTGGGATTTTTCGAATTTTTGTTGTTTTGATTTGTCGACATTTTGATTTTTCGTTTTTTTGTATTTCGATTTTTCGGTTTTTCAGTACTTCAGTTTTCAATTTTAGAATTTTAAAATGTTAGATTTTTCTATTTTTTGATGTTTCGATATCTCTATCTTTCGATTTTTCAACTTCACACTTTTGCATCATTTTAGTTGAGGATTTTTTAATTTCTTGATTTTTCGAATTTTCGATTTCGGGATATTTTATTTTTCGATTTCTCGATTTTCCGGTATTTCAGTTTTACGATTTCCGTTTTTCGATTTCAGTATTTCAATTTTTGGCGTTTCGAAATTTTCGAATTTTCATTTTCTCAATTTCTCTGTTAAGCGATTCTTTGATTTCTCGACTTCTCAATTTCCCAATTTTTCGATTTTTTGATTTCCCAACCTATCGATTTCTCGATTTTGCAATTTTTCGATGTTTCAGTTTTAGAATTTTTCAATTTTGGAAGTTTTCTTAGATTTTTCGGTTTTTCAATGTTTGGACATTTTAGTTTGAGGATTTTCCAATTTGTTGATTTTTCGAAATTTCGATTTCGCGTTATTTTATTTTTCGATTTCTCGATTTTAATTCTTGAATATTTCAATTTTTGGCGTTTCGAAATTTTCGATTTTTCCTTTTCTCAATAATTTCTCTATTAAGCGATTCTTTGATTTTTCGATTTTCCAATTTTGCAATTATTTGGTTTCTCTACTTTTCGATTTCTTGATTTCTCAATTTTTCGATTTCTCAAGTTTTCGATGTTTCAGTTTTAGGATTTTTCAATATTTCGATTTTTCAATTTTTCGATTTTTTTATACTTTGGTTTCTCGATTCAATTTTTCGACATTTAAATCTTTGGTTTTTCTTTAATTGTAGATACAATTGCTCGATTTTTCGGTTTTTCAGTATTTCAGTTTTCAATTTTCAGTTTTTCGAATTTTTAAATGTTAAGTTTTTCACGTTTTTATGTTTCGATGTCTATCTTTCAATTTTTCGCTTTAAGATTTTTCAGTTTTTCAATGTCAGTTTTTCGATTCTTCAATATTTCAATTTTTGGCGTTTCGAAATTTTCGAATTTTCCTTTCCTCAATTTCTCTATTAGGCGATTCTTTGATTTCTCGACTTTTCGATTTCCCAATTTTTCAATTTTTTGATTTCTCCACTTTTTTTTAATTTAAGATACTTCTATTTCTTGATCTTTAGATTTTTCGACTTCTAGCTCTCTTTTAGATTTTTCGGTTTTTCAATTTTTGATTTTCAAAATTTTCAAGTTTTCAATTTTTAGGTTTTTAAATTTTTCAATTTTCCGATTTTCCAATTTATCGAGATTTCGAAGTTTCCATTTTTTTAATTTAATAATTTTTCGATTTATCGGGTTTTCTAAGTTCAAATTTAATCTTTTGATATTTCGATTTCTAGATTTTTCAATTTCTTGATTTTTTAGCTTTTCGTTTTTTTAATTGTAGATTTTTCGATTTCTCGATTTCTAGTTTTTTGATTTTTAGTTCCTCGATTTTTTGAATTTTATATTAACGATTTTTCCATTTTTCGATTTTTTGATGTTTCGAATTCCCGATTTAAAACTTTTTTCAATTTTTCGTAATTTTAAAATAGTCCGACTTTTCATTTTTTTGATTTCTCAATTTTTCAACATTTCAATTTTGGGAATTTTTCAAAATCTCATTTTTTTCAATTATTCGATTTCAGTCGAGCTTTAGACTTTTCGGATTTCGATTTTTAAAATGTTTCGACTTAATTTTTTTGATTTCTCGATTTTTACGTTTTCGACTCTTCAATTTTTCGATTTTTTTTATTGTAGATTTTTCGATTTCTCAAGTTTTCGATGATTCAGTGTTAGGATTTTTTAATTTTTCGATTTTTCGATATTTTAATTTTTCGTTTTTTTAAATTTTAGTTATTGCTATTTCTTGATCTTTAGATTTTTCGACTTCCAGCTCTCTTTTAGATTTTTGGGTTTTTCAATTTTTTGATTTTCAAAATTTTTAATTTTTCAAGTTTTCAATTTTTCGGTTTTAAAATTTTTCCATTTTTAGTTTTCCAATTTATCGAGATTTCGATGTCTCTATTTTTTAATTTTAATAGTTTTTCCATTTATCGGGTTTTCTAGGTTCAAATTCAATTTTTCGATTTTTAATTGTAATTTTTCGATTTCTCGATTTCTACTTTTTTGATTTTTAGTTCTTCGATTGTTTAAATTTTATATTAACGATTTTTCCATTGTTCTATTTTACGATTTTTTGATGTTTCGAATTCTCGATTTTAAACTTTTTCCAGTTTTTCGAATTTTTCAATTTATCGAGATTTCAATGTTTCCATTTTTTAAATTTTAACAGTTTTTCGATTTATCGGGTTTTCTAAGTTCAAATTCAACCTTTTGATATTTCGATTCCTAGATTTTTCAATTTCCCGATTTTTCAATTTTTCGATTTTTTAATTGTAGATTTTCGATTTTTCGATTTCTAGTTTTTTGATTTTTAGTTCCTCGATTTTTTAAATTTTATATTAACGATTTTTCCATTTTTCGATTTTTTGATGTTTCGAATTCCCGATTTTAAACTTTTTTCAATTTTTCGAATTTTAAAATAGTCCCACTTTTCATTTTTTTTATTTCTCAATTTTTCAACATTTCAATTTTGGGAATTTTTCAAAATCTCATTTTTTTCAATTTTTCGATTTCAATCGATCTTTCGACTTTTCGGACTTCGATTTTTAAAATGTTTCGACTTAATTTTATGATTTTTCGATTTTTCAATATTTCGATCTCTAGATTTTTCAATTTCCCGATTTTTTAGCTTTTCGATTTTTTAATTGTAGATTTTTCGATTTCTCAATTCTAGTTTTTTGATTTTTAGTTCCTCGATTTTTTAAATTTTATATTAACGATTTTTCCATTTTTCGATTTTTTGATGTTTCGAATTCCCGATTTTAAACTTTTTTCAATTTTTCGAATTTTAAAATAGTCCCACTTTTCATTTTTTTTATTTCTCAATTTTTCAACATTTCAATTTTGGGAATTTTTCAAAATCTCATTTTTTTCAATTTTTCGATTTCAATCGATCTTTCGACTTTTCGGACTTCGATTTTTAAAATGTTTCGACTTAATTTTATGATTTTTCGATTTTTCAATATTTCGATTTCTAGATTTTTCAATTTCCCGATTTTTTAGCTTTTCGATTTTTTAATTGTAGATTTTTCGATTTCTCAATTCTAGTTTTTTGATTTTTAGTTCCTCGATTTTTTAAATTTTGTATTAACGATTTTTCCATTTTTCGATTTTTTGATGTTTCGAATTCCCGATTTTAAACTTTTTTCAATTTTTCGAATTTTAAAATAGTCCCACTTTTCATTTTTTTTATTTCTCAATTTTTCAACATTTCAATTTTGGGAATTTTTCAAAATCTCATTTTTTTCAATTTTTCGATTTCAATCGATCTTTCGACTTTTCGGACTTCGATTTTTAAAATGTTTCGACTTCATTTTTTTGATTTCTCGATTTATACGTTTTCAACTCTTCAATTTTCCGATTTTTTTTATTGTAGATTTTTTGGTTTCTCAAGTTTTCGATGATTAGGATTTTTCAATTTTTCGATTTTTCGATATTTTAATTTTTCGTTTTTTTAAATTTTAGTTATTGCTATTTCTTGATCTTTAGATTTTTCGACTTCCAGCTCTCTTTTAGATTTTTGGGTTTTTCAATTTTTTGATTTTCAAAATTTTTAATTTTTCAAGTTTTCAATTTTTCGGTTTTAAAATTTTTCCATTTTTATTAGTTTTCCAATTTATCGAGATTTCCAATTTATCGAGATTTCGATGTCTCTATTTTTTAATTTTAATAGTTTTTCCATTTATCGGGTTTTCTAGGTTCAAATTCAATTTTTCGATTTTTAATTGTAATTTTTCGATTTCTCGATTTTTACTTTTTTGATTTTTAGTTCTTCGATTGTTTAAATTTTATATTAACGATTTTTCCATTGTTCGATTTTACGATTTTTTGATGTTTCGAATTCTCGATTTTAAACTTTATTCGGTTTTTCGAATTTTTCAATTTATCGAGATTTCGATGTTTCCATTTTTTAAATTTTAACAGTTTTTCGATTTATCGGGTTTTCTAAGTTCAAATTCAACCTTTTGATATTTCGATTTCTAGATTTTTCAATTTCCCGATTTTTTAGCTTTTCGATTTTTTAATTGTAGATTTTTCGATTTCTCGATTCTAGTTTTTTGATTTTTAGTTCCTTGATTTTTTAAATTTTATATTAACGATTTTTCCATTTTTCGATTTTACGATTTTTTGATGTTTCGAATACCCGATTTAAACTTTTTTCAAATTTTCGAATCTTAAAATTGTTGGACTTTTCATTTTTTTGATTTCTCAATTTTTCAACATTTCAATTTTGGGAATTTTTCAAAATCTCATTTTTTTCGATTTCGAGCGATCTTTCGACTTTCCATTTTTTGGATTCCTCGATTTTTCAATTTTTTACTTCAGTTTTGGGATTTTTCAATTTCTCGATTTTTAGTTTTTCGACTCTTTAATTTTTCGATTTTTTTTTAATTGTAGATTTCTCGATTTCTAGTGTTTTGATTTTTAGTTTTCCGATTTTTAAAATTTTATATTAACGATTTTTCCATTTTTCGATTTTACGATTTTTTGATGTTTCGAAATCCCGATTTTAAACTTTTTTCAATTTTTCAAATTTTAAAATAGTCCGACTTTTCGTTTTTTTGATTTTTCAATTTTTCAACATTTCAATTTTGGGAATTTTTCAAAATCTCATTGTTTTCAATTTGTCAATTTCAATCGATCTTTCGACTTTTCGGATTTCGATTATTTCGGTTTTTCAATTTTCGATTTTTAAAATTTGTCGACGTCATTTTTTTGATTTCTCGATTTTTCAATTTTTCGACATTTTAGTTTTGGGATTTTTCAGTTTCTCGATTTTTAGTTTTTCGAGTCTTCAATTTTTCGATTTTTTTATTGTAGATTTTTCGATTTCTCGGTCTCTAGTATTTTGATTTTTAGTTTTTCGATTTTTTAAATTTTATATTAACGATTTTTCAATTTTTCGAATTAGAAAATTGTTCCGACTTTTCATTCTTTCGATTTTTCGAGTTTTCGATTTCTCAGTTTTTCAACATTCAATTTTATGAATTTTTCAAAATCTCATTACTTTTCAATTTTTCGATTTCCATGGATCTTTCGAAGTTTTCATTTTTTTTTCAGTTTTGGGATTTTTCAATTTCTCGATTTTTAGTTTTTCGATTCTTCAATTTTTCGATTTCTAGTGTTTCGATTTTTAGTTTTCCCATTTTTAAAATTTTATATTAACGATTTTTCCATTTGTCGATTTTATGATTTTTTGATGTTTCGAATTTCCGATTTTAAACTTTTTTTCAATTTTTCGAATTTTAAAATTGTTCGACTTTTCATTCTTTTGATTTTTCGATTTTTCAGGTTTTCGATTCCTCAATTTTTCAACATTTCAATTTTGGGAATTTTTTCAAAATCTCATTTTTTTCAATTTTTCGATTTCGATCGATCTTTCGACTTTTCATTTTTTTGATTTCTCAATTTTTCAACATTTCAATTTTGGGAATTTTTCAAAATCTCATTTTTTTCAATTTTTCGATTTCAATCGATCTTTCGACTTTTCGGATTTCGATTTTTCAATTTTTCGACATTTTAGTTTAGGGATTTTTCAGTTTCTCGATTTTTAGTTTTTCGACTCTTCATTTTTTCGATTTTTCAATTTTTCGATTTTTTTTATTGTAGATTTTTCGATTTCTCGATCTCTAGTATTTTGATTTTTAGTTTTTCGATTTTTTAAATTTCATATTGACGACTTTTCAATTTTTTGAATTTTAAAATTGTTCCGACTGTTCATTCTTTTGATTTTTCAGGTTTTCGATTTCTCAATTTTTCAACATTTCAATTTTGATAATATTTCAAAATCTCATTTTTTTCAATTTTTCGATTTCGATCGATCTTTCGACTTTTCATTTTTTTTTTGATTTCTCAATTTTTCAACATTTCAATTTTGGGAATTTTTCAAAATCTCAGTCTTTTCAATTTTCGATTTTTAAAATTTTTCGACCTCATTTTTTTTTATTTCTCAATTTTTGAATTTTTCGATATTTTAGTTTTGGGATTTTTCAGTTTCTCGATTTTTTAGTTTTTCGAGTCTTCAATTTTTCGATTTTTTTTATTGCAGATTTTTCGATTTCTCGATCTCTAGTATTTTGATTTTTAGTTTTTCGATTTTCTTAAATTTTATATTAGCGATTTTTCAATTTTTCGAATTTTAAAATTGTTCCGACTTTTCATTCTTTTGATTTTTCGATTTTCAAGTTTCCGATTTCTCAATTTTTCACATTTCAATTTTGGGAATTTTTCAAAATCTCATTTTTTTCAATTTTTCGATTTCAATCGATCTTTCGACTTTTCGGATTTCGATTTTTCAATTTTTCGACATTTTAGTTTTGGGATTTTTCAGTTTCTCGATTTTTAGTTTTTCGACTCTTCATTTTTTCGATTTTTCAATTTTTCGATTTTTTTTATTGTAGATTTTTCGATTTCTCGATCTCTAGTATTTTGATTTTTTAAATTTCATATTGACCATTTTTCAATTTTTTGAATTTTAAAATTGTTCCGACTGTTCATTCTTTTGATTTTTCGGGTTTTCGATTTCTCAATTTTTCAACATTTCAATTTTGATAATATTTTAAAATCTCATTTTTTTCAATTTTTCGATTTCGATCGATCTTTCGACTTTTCATTTTTTTTTGATTTCTCAATTTTTCAACATTTAAATTTTGGGAATTTTTCAAAATCTCAGTCTTTTCAATTTTCGATTTTTAAAATTTTTCGACCTCATTTTTTTTTATTTCTCAATTTTTGAATTTTTCGATATTTTAGTTTTGGGATTTTTCAGTTTCTCGATTTTTAGTTTTTCCAGTCTTCAATTTTTCGATTTTTTTTTATTGTAAATTTTTCGATTTCTCGATCTCTAGTATTTTGATTTTCATTTTTTTGATTTTTTAAATTTTATATTGACGATTTTTCAATTTTTCGAATTTTAAAATTGTTCCGACTTTTCATTCTTTTAATTTTTCGATTTTTCAGGTTTTCGATTTCTCAATTTTTCAACATTTCAATTTTGGGAATTTTTTCAAAATCTCATTTTTTTCAATTTTTCGATTTCGATCGATCTTTCGACTTTTAATTTTTTTTGATTTCTCAATTTTTCAACATTTCAATTTTGGGAATTTTTCAAAATCTCATTTTTTTCAATTATTTGATTTCAATCGATCTTTCGACTTTTCGGATTTCGATTTTTCAATTTTTCGACATTTTAGTTTTGGGATTTTTTAGTTTCTCGATTTTTAGTTTTTCGACTCTTCATTTTTTCGATTTTTCAATTTTTCGATTTTTTTATTGTAGATTTTTCGATTTCTGGATCTCTAGTATTTTGATTTTTAGTTTTTCGATTTTTTTAAATTTTATATCAACGATTTTCCCATTTTTCGAATTTTAAAATTGTTCGACTTTTCATTTTTTTGAATTTTAGATTTTTCAATTTTTGGAAAATTCAGTTGTGGGATTTTTCAGTTTCTCGACTCTTCAATTTTTCGATTTTTTTTTAATTACAGATTTTTCGATTTCTCGATTTCTAGTGTTTTGATTTTTAGTTTTCCGATTTTTAAAATTTTATATTAACGATTTTTTGATGTTTCGAATTCCCGATTTAAAACTTTTTTCAATTTTTCGAATTTTAAAATTGTTCGACTTTTCATGTTTTTGATTTTTCGATTTTTCAAGTTTTCGATTTATCAATTTTTCAACATTTCAATTTTTCGATTTCGATCGATCTTTCGACTTCTCAGATTTCGATTTTTCGGTTTTTCAATTTTCGATTTTAAAAATTTTTCATCTCTCGATTTCAGTTTTTCGGTTGTTCGATTCCTCGGTATTTTTTGTAATTAATCAAAGGACGAGGGAAGTTCTGTCGAAATAACCTTCGACCAATTGTTTAGATTTGCTTATACAGGGTGACTCGAAAAAATTAATGAATCAGTCAATTTATTTGATTGAATAAATCAACAATTGCAAAACTGAATGCTTTGAAATCTTGCAGACGTTTTAAAGTCGATGTAACCATGATAAATTTTTAATCAAAATAAATCTGTTTACTCCCCCCAAAAAACTGATGACGTCATCTCAAAATTTTGCCGAATAAATTCAACCTAAAATGTGCAAAATATGATTTTTTTGTTTTTTGCTTTTATAGATACGGCATAGACAAAAACGGGCGGTGCTTAATCGCCGACGACATGGGTTTAGGGAAAACCTTCCAAGCCCTCGCCATCGCCAGCTACTACGTCGAGGACTGGCCCCTGCTCATAGCGACCACCAGCTCCATGAAGTACGCCCTCGACCCCACACCCTTCACCCCCACTTACACTAAAACAAACAAATTCCAGGAACGTGTGGGAAGAGACCATCCACAGGTACCTCCCCAGCGTCCCCCTAATGCAAGTCCAGTACATGTCCTCCGGCAAAGACTACATCGGCGACTGTCGCGTCCTCATCGTCAGTCACGACATGATGTCCCGCTGCGTCGACGCCCTCCTCAACAAAAATTTCGGCGTCCTAATAATCGACGAATCCCACACCCTCAAAAACTTCAAAGCCAAGTGCACCAAATCCGCGACGTCTCTAGCCAAAAAGGCGCGTCGGGTGGTTTTGTTGAGCGGCACCCCGGCGCTGTCGCGCCCCAGCGAACTCTTCTCCCAATTATCCCTAATCGACGACAGGTTCTTCGGCAACTTCTACGACTACAGCCGGCGGTACTGCGACGGGAGAAACACCAACTTCGGGTGGGACGCCTCTGGAAAGTCGAATCTAGCGGAGCTCGAAATAATTCTGACGCGCAAATTCATGATCAGACGAACGAAAGAAGACGTTCTAAAATCACTCCCTAACAAGTCGCAGGAGGTGGTGACTTTGGACGTGAACTTAAACCAGTTCAGCGAGGAGGACCGGAAGTGTTTGAACGCGCTGGCTAGTAAGTACCAAAGTCAGAAGAAGAGCGCCGAAAAGCACGCGTTGTTGTTGACGTTTTTCAGCGAAACGGCGAAAATTAAAATCCCCTCAGTTTGGTAGGTAGTGACACCAACTTCGACTATCGCTAATAATAATTTTTAGTTCGTACGTGCTTCAAGCGCTGAAAGTCAAACAAAAATTTCTCGTTTTTGCGCACCACCAAATCATGCTAGACGCGATTTGCAACGTTTTGGGTAAAAAAAGCGTCAAGTTTATTCGGATTGACGGCAACACGACGTCAGAACAACGAAAATACTTTGTGGATAAATTCCAAACCAACGATAATTATCTGGTGGCGGTTTTATCAATCACTGCTGCCAACGCCGGGATTACTTTAACCGCAGCACAGTTGGTATTGTTTGCGGAGCTGCATTGGAACCCCAGTGTAAGAAAAAATGTTGCAATGTTTTCGTCACTAGTGATAAAATTGCAGATTTTGAGCCAAGCGGAGAGCAGGGCGCACCGAATCGGGCAGTTGAACCCCGTCGTGATCAAGTATTTGTTGGCTAGCGGAACTGCAGACGACTCGATTTGGCCCATGCTCCAAGAAAAACAAAAAATTTTGGAAGAAGTTGGACTTTCAAAGGACTCTTTTGACAAAGTTTCAGTCAGTAAACAACCGAGTGACGCGTCGGAACTCACCGAGGACTTAAACGTCACTTTAAATCGCACGAGTGCCAACACGCTAGACATTTCGTGTTATTTCAAAAACGAAAATACTAATTTGGGTGATACTAGTGATATTTTTGATGACGGGCTTGATGATGTTTTTAGTACTATGGATTTGTAACGTCAAAGTGTATATTTGCCTTTTTATAATAATAATAATACAAAGTAATTTATTATCTAGACTTTTCGACTTTTTCATTTTTTGACTGTTCGATTTCTCGATTGCTCAGTTTTTCGATTTCTTAAGTTGTCGAAGTTTCGGTTTTAGGATTTTTCAATTTTGGGATTTTTCGATTTTTTGGTGGTTTGATTTCTCGATTCAATTTTTCGACATTGAAATCTTGGATTTTTTTAATTTTAGAAACGATTTCTCGATTTTTCAGTTTTCAATTTTCAGTTTTTAGAATTTTTAAATGTTAAGTTTTTCACTTTTTTTGTGTTTCGATATCTCCATCTTTCGATTTTTCGACTTCTCGCTTTCAGATTTTTCGGTTTTTCAATTTCAGTTTTTCGCCTCTTCAGTACATATTTCAATTTTTGGTGTTCGAAATGTTCGAATTTCCCTTTTCTTAATTTCTCTATTAAGCGATTCTTTGATGTTTCGACTTTTCGATTTTTTTATTTCTCTACTTTTCGATTTCTCGATTTTTCGATTTTTCAAGTTTTCGATGTCTCAGTTTTAGGATTTTTCGACATTTTAGTTGAGGATTTTTCAGTTTCTCGATTTTTCGAAATTTGAATTTTTCAATTTCAGTTTTTTCGATTCCTCAATTTTTCGATTCTTCAATATTTCAATTTTTGGCGTTTCGAAATTTCCCGAATTTCCCTTTTCTCAATTTCTCTATTAAGCGATTCTTTGATTTTTCGACTTTTCAATTTCCCAATTTTTCGATTTTTTGATTTCCCAACTTATCGATTTCTGGATTTTTAAATTTTTCGATTTCTCAATTTCTCGATGTTTCAGTTCAATTTTTTGACATCTTAGTTCGAGGATTTCTCAATTTGGCAATTCTTCAAATTCTTGATTTTTCGTTTTTTCGATTTCTCGATTTTCCGATATTTCAGTTTTACGGTTTCAGTCTTTGAATTCTTCAATATTTCAATTTTTGGCGTTTCGAAATTTTCGATTTTTCCTCTTCTCAATAATTTCTCTGTTAAGGCATTTTTTGATTTTTCGAATTTTCAATTTCCCAATTTTTCGATTTTTTGATTTCTCTACTGTTCGATTTCTTGATTTTTTAATTTTTCGATTTCTCAAGTTTCTGATGTTTCAGTTTTAGGATTTTTCAATCTTGGAATTCTTCGATATTTCGATTTTTCGATATTTTGGTTTCTCGATTCAATTTTTCGACATTTAAATCTTTGTTTTTTTTAATTTTAGATCCAATTTCTCGATTTTTCGGTTTTTCAGTATTTCAGTTTTCAATTTTCAGTTTTTCGAATTTTTAAATGTTAAGTTTTTCACTTTTTTGGTGTTTCGCTTTCGATATCTCTATCTTTTGATTTTTCGACTTCTCGCTTTTAGATTTTTCGTTTTTTCCATTTTTCGACATTTTAGTTGAGGATTTTTCAATTTCCCGATTTTTCGAAACTTGAATTTTACAATTTCAGTTTTTTCGATTCCTCAATTTTTCGATTCTTCAATATTTCAATTTTTGGCGTTTCGAAATTTCCCGAATTTCCCTTTTCTCAATTTCTTTGATTTTTCGACTTTTCAATTTCCCAATTTTTCGATTTTTTGATTTCCCAACTTATCGATTTCTGGATTTTTAAATTTTTCGATTTCTCAAGTTCTCGATGTTTCAGTTTTAGGATTTTTCTGTGATTTTTCGGCTTTTCAATTTTTTGACATCTTAGTTTGAGGATTTCTCAGTTTGGCGATTCTTCAATTAAGCGATTCTTTGATTTTTCGACTTTTCAATTTCCCAATTTTTCGATTTTTTGATTTCCCAACTTATCGATTTCTGGATTTTTAAATTATTCAATTTCTCAAGTTCTCGATGTTTCAGTTTTAGGATTTTTGTTTGATTTTTCGGTTTTTCAATTTTTTGACATCTTAGTTTGAGGATTTCTCAATTTGGCGATTCTTCAAATTCTTGATTTTTCGAATTTTCGATTTCTCGATTTTCCGATATTTCAGTTTTACGGTTTCAGTCTTTGAATTCTTCAATATTTCAATTTTTAGCGTTTCGAAATTTTCGATTTTTCCTCTTCTCAATAATTTCTCTATTAAGGCATTTTTTGATTTTTTGAATTTTCAATTTCCCAATTTTTCGATTTTTTGATTTCTCTACTTTTTGATTTCTCAAGTTTCTGATGTTTCAGTTTTAGGATGTTTCAATCTTGGAATTTTTCGATATTTTGGTTTCTCGATTCAATTTTTGGACATTTAAATCTTTGTTTTTTTTAATTTTAGATCCAATTTCTCGATTTTTTGATTTTTCAGTATTTCAGTTTTCAATTTTCAGTTTTCGAATTTTTAAATGTTAAGTTTTTCACTTTTTTGGTGTTTCGATATCTCTATCTTTCGATTTTTCGACTTCTCGCTTTTAGATTTTTCTGTTTTTCAATTTTTCGATATTTTAGTTGAGGATTTTTCAATTTCCCGATTTTTCGAAATTTGAATTTTACAATTTCAGTTTTTTCGATTCCTCAATTTTTCGATTCTTCAATATTTCAATTTTTGGCACTTCGAAATTTTCGAATTTTCCTTTCCTCAATTTCTCTATTTAGTAATTTTTTGATTTTTCGACTTTTCCATTTCCCAATTTTTCGATTTTTTGGTTTCTCTACTTTTCGATTTCTTGATTTTGCAATTTTTCGATTTCTCAAGTTTTCGATGTTTCCGTTTTAGGATTTTTCAATTTTGGAAGTTTTCGATATTGCGATTTTCCAATTTTTCGATTATTTTGACATTTTGGTTTCTCGATTCAATTTTTCAACATTTAAATATTTGGTTTTTCCTTAATTTTAGATACAATTTCTCGATTTTTCGGTTTTTCAGTATTTCAGTTTTTCGAATTTTCGCTTTTAGATTTTTCGGTTTTTCAATTTCAGTTTTTCGATTCTTCAATATTTCAATTTTTGGCGTTTCGAAATTATCAAATTTTCCTTTTCTCAATTTATCTATTCAGCGATTCTTTGATTTCTCGACTTTTCGATTTCCCAATTTTTCAATTTTTTGATTTCTCTACTTTTCGATTCCTCAATTTTCGATTCTTCAATATTTCAATTTTTGGCGTTTCGAAATTTCCCGAATTTCCCCTTTCTCAATTTCTCTAGTAAGCGATTCTTTGATTTTTCGACTTTTCAATTTCCCAATTTTTCGATTTTTTGATTTCCCAACTTATCGATTTCTGGATTTTTAAATTTTTCGATTTCTCAAGTTCTCGATGTTTCAGTTTTAGGATTTTTCTTTGATTTTTGGGTTTTTCAATTTATTGACATCTTAGTTTGAGGATTTCTCAATTTGGCGATTCTTCAAATTCTTGATTTTTCCAAATTTCGATTTCTCGATTTTCCGATATTTCAGTTTTACGGTTTCAGTCTTTGAATTCTTCAATATTTCAATTTTTGGCGTTTCGAAATTTTCGATTTTTCCTCTTCTCAATAATTTCTCTATTAAGGCATTTTTTGATTTTTTGAATTTTCAATTTCCCAATTGTTCGATTTTTTGATTTCTCAACTTTTCGATTTCTTGATTTTTTAATTTTTCGATTTCTCAAGTTTTTGATGTCTCAGTTTTAGAATTTTTCAATCTTGGAATTTTTCGATATTTCGATTTTTCGATATTTTGGTTTCTCGATTCAATTTTTCGACATTTAAATCTATGTTTTTTTTTCGATTTTTAAATCCAATTTCTCGATTTTTCAGTATTTCAGTTTTCAATTTTCAGTTTTTCGAATTTTTAAATGTAGAGTTTTTCACTTTTTTGGTGTTTCGATATCTCTATCTTTCGATTTTTCGACTTCTCGCTTTTAGATTTTTCGGTTTTTCAAATTTTCGACATTTTAGTTGAGGATTTTTCAATTTCCCGATTTTTCGAAATTTGAATTTTACAATTTCAGTTTTTTCGATTCCTCAACTTTTCGATTCTTCAATATTTCAATTTTTGGCGATTCGAAATTTTCTAATTTTCCTTTCCTCAATTTCTCAATTTAGTAATTTTTTGATTTTTCGACTTTTCCATTACCCAATTTTTCGATTTTTTGGTTTCTTTGCTTTTCGATTTCTTGATTTTGCAATTTTTCGATTTCTCAAGTTTTCGATGTTTCAGTTTTAGGATTTTTCAATTCTGGAAGTTTTCGATATTGCGATTTTCCAATTTTTCGATTATTTTGATATTTTGGTTTCTCGATTCAATTTTTCAACATTTAAATATTTGGTTTTTCCTTAATTTTAGATACAATTTCTCGATTTTTCGGTTTTTCAGTATTTCAGTTTTTCGAATTTTTTAATGTCAAGTTTTTCATTTTTTTTTATCTTTCCATTTTTCGAATTTTCGCTTTTAGATTTTTCGGTTTTTCAATTTCAGTTTTTCGATTCTTCAATATTTCAATTTTTGGCGTTTCGAAATTTTCGAATTTTCCTTTTCTCAATTTCTCTATTCAGCGATTCTTTGATTTCTCGACTTTTCGATTTCCCAATTTTTCAATTTTTTGATTTCTCTACTTTTCGATTCCTCAATTTTTCGATTCTTCAATATTTCAATTTTTGGCGTTTCGAAATTTCCTGAATTTCCCTTTTCTCAATTTCTCTATTAAGCGATTCTTTGATTTTTCGACTTTTCAAGTTCCCAATTTTTCGATTTTTTGATTTCCCAACTTATCGATTTCTGGATTTTAAAATTTTTCGATTTCTCAAGTTCTCGATGTTTCAGTTTTAGGATTTTTCTTTGATTTTTCGGTTTTTCAATTTTTTGACATTTTAGTTTGAGGATTTCTCAATTTGGCTATTCTTCAAATTCTTGATTTTTCCAAATTTCGATTTCTCGATTTTCCGATATTTCAGTTTACGGTTTCAGTCTTTGAATTCTTCAATATTTCAATTTTTGGCGTTTCGAAATTTTCGATTTTTCCTCTTGTCAATAATTTCTCTATTAAGGCATTTTTTGATTTTTTGAATTTTCTATTTCCCAATTTTTCGATTTTTTGATTTCCCTACTTTTCGATTTCTTGATTTT